ATAACTCTCTTTCAAAATCTCATCACAATTTCATCTTAATGTAATGATAGAATTTTAGCACAAAATTGAAATTTATACATTTGTTAGTAATTTTATTAATTTCGTAGTATTCATCGTGCAAATATATTTCAAGTGAATTATAAGAATTCATCAGCTTCTCGTTCAAACAATGAAAAGTTTATAAATTTGCCGTAAATTTGTCGACTTAATTATACAAAGCATTTCTTTTCTGTATATCAGCGTATAAACGTATTATATTCTACGATCAAATGTGTCATTACAACATAAAAGAGAGTTATTTACTAACAAAACGAGAACAAATCTAATAGTTTAATAACTTTAAAAATAAAAACAATTCTCTACTGTTAGGCCCAAAAGAAAAAAAAACAAAGATACTTTTCTTGTCATAGAAAATTATTTCGTACAATATAGAGTTAGGATTGTTCATCATTCGAAGGCCATTGCCCGGAATGGTTCCAATCCCAATCTTTGCCTTTAGGACGAAACTTGCTAGTACTTGCGGAATTATTCCAATCACGATGAAAAATTTTTTTTAAAGTGATGTCGCTCAGGATCTGGTTGTCGTTGATATTTTAGAGGTACCGAAGAGGATGTGCCACTCGAGGGATTACCACTGGATGGATTTGCAGGGCGGGGACTAGTTGGAGAAGGTGTTCTTGGTGGTCCTATTGCTTCATCGGGAGAAGGTATTATGGGTGGTGGTCCTGTTATCGTGCTGTCTGAACCTAATCCACTATCAGGACTTGTATTTACTCCTTCCGTTGATCGTCTACGTTTATCCAATTCTGTGGAAGCAAATGCGACCAAGCGATCAAATCCTGAGCTAATACGATCTTGCCAGTCAGCTTCTCCATCTGCAAAATAAATTACAATGAGATACCATAACATATACATGATAAAGCATTGAATAAACTATATATTGCTATATTTTCATAAAAATAAGCCATAAATATAATATGTATAATACAAAGCAATTATTTTCTCTATACTTATCTATATATAATTACGCATTACACATACATACACACACACACACACACATATATATATATATATATATATTCCACGAGAACTATATTAAATAAATATATTGTTTAAACTCGAATCAAAGTCTACATATGTGTGTGCATCATTGATAAGCAGTTTGTACAATATAAAACGTACTCTATAGAATAAATTTGAGTAATATTAGAACAAATTTTTAATATCAAACAATCATATTATTATATTTATATTTAATGCAAACGTTCAAACAAATTATGAGCATGAAATCAGTTTTGTTTTAATATTAAATCGCATAACTGATAGAAATGGTAAATCTTAATTTTAAAAAGCAAAATAAATATTTTAAACGCTCTGCGCGTGGAAAGATGTTACATCATTATAAGTATTATATAAGATATAAGTACTATATAAGATATTTGCTGAAATACAGTGCGCTTTTAAACATATTATTAATATCATAACGATAAATGTATATGTTTTATTGATAGATTAAACTGAAACAAAACATTAAAACATTAAAAGTAAAATACGAATAATAAAATAAATAGAAAACAAAACAAAATTTGTCATGCAACATGCACTAAAAGTACAGTCCACCAATTAAAATACATCCTAAATTTTGATTCAACATGCGCGCTTATATACATATACATATAACTCATTCACAAACTAGAATTTTTGTATCCTTGTGAATCTGGCTTATTTTCAAAACTGATTTCTAGATAGTGCCTTTTTAAGATAGAAGGGATATACGCTCGTACACTTGCCTATAAGGTAAGGAAAAAACTAAAATTTTTATTATTTTTAAAATTTTTAATATTTTACAGAACGATTAGAATCGAATAGCAAAATTTTGACCCCCGTGGGACAACTCACCGGTGATTGTACCGACGAACCAACCCACAGGCAGCCGTATTTTTTCATTTCTCCCTCTGTGTGTCTCAATCTCTAATAAAACAAGCTTCAGGGATTCTGAGATCGAGTACGTGACAGAACTAACCAACAAACAGCTACAGTGCATCTAACAAATACAGCAAACAACAACAAAAATAAATATAAAATAAAGGTCAGGCCAACTCCGTAAGATAAGCTAAACCATTAGTGCATATAAATACGTGGAGAAATGCATGAGAGAGCGAAAACTAATATGATATCTAGAAAATCCTAAGCAAAGTGGCATTGAGCATTGAGTATAACAAAAATTTTATAATATTTTTGTCGTCAGTATTGTTGTTCTACATCCTTTGTTGTACATATAATTATAAGTAATGAAACAAATCACACGCACGCACGCACACGCATATGAACATAACACGTGCGCGTGCACATTCACACACGGATAGAGTTTAAAGAGGTAAATGTCCTTTGAAAAGAAAATTGCATGTGAAAGATATTCTTGTGAATCAAATTGAATCAAGGCAAAGTCATAATATGTTCACTTTGTTATTCAACAATTTCAATTTATTATTTGGAAGTTTTGCTAGAATATTTAATAACTCGTTTCATCTATCACGATAAATCTTTTATAGTTATTATATCAAGAAGCGTATTCAATTGGAGTACATTCCAAGCATACGTTCATTATTCGTATCATTATTCTAACAATAGAACATTTTTCTCAAATTCTAAAAACACATGATTTTTTTCACGCTTACCATCATCTCCAACGGCACTTCGTTGCCTTTGCGTTGTCATCTGAGGCTCGTCGACTAATGGCGTCGAAGTATTAGAATGCGGTTCCACAAGAGGACTTAGAGGCGCTCCACTTGTGCTTACCGATGATACAACCGCTTCAGTTTTTACCGATATCAACGGTTGTGATTGACAAACAGCGGTTACTGTATCACTTGTCGAGTTTCCATTACTATTATTGTTAGTTGCGTATCGCGGATATGGTTGATATCTATAAATATAATAAACGTATCATATTACATTCGTGTTTGGGTGATTTCAGTTATGATTTCATGTATGATTATACTACTACCTTCTATTGCCAGAAAGCGTTGATTCGGTTTTACCATTATTGTTATGATTGTTCAATATTCGGGCGTGCAATGACGCTGCAAGACCCTCCACAGGCAACAATTCCCCATTCGATGCATTTTGAGACGAATGTAAAGGTGATGCCGCTGAATGAGATTGTGTAAGCGACTGAGAAGGATTATCCGAAAAGTAGGACTCATGGTAAGGCTTAATGTCCGCTCGCGGCAATTGAACCGGTGTATACCTGATGAAAATAATCTTCATATCTGAAGCATTTCGACAGATCGAGTTCCGTCACAGAATCGAATAATAGATACCTTTGTGGTTGTGTTACCGGAGTAAAAAGCACAGATGATCTCGAGCTAGTCGTAGAGGTGGAGACTCCCGAAGAAGTAGGTGCGTAACTAGCTACATGTGCCAAAGTTGACAAACCGGTATCTCCTTCAGCACTTGCTGGCCTACTAATGGGAGAATATACAGTTTCAGTTCTCATCATCGCGCTCATTTCAACGGTCGCGTTTATTAGAGACTGGTTGGATATCTCCAAAGTTCTTTCTATTTCACCACTGACAAGATCGCCAATTGTCCTAGTACCGAGTAACCCATTCCACCAGTTACAAGTCGACTATCGTAATTCGATGATTGCCTAGAATCGATTGTCGATCTGTCGGACGATGTCGTCAAATGAGACGATGAAAGGCGTTCTTGCGAGAGATGACGACGAAGCGCTAGCTTTGCGGGTGAAACCTACAGAGTGATAAGTGTTACATATATACACACACACACACACACACACACACACACACACACACACACACACACACACACACACACACACACACACACACACACATATATATATATATATACGTTTAACGTACGGTTACTATGCTTGATATTACATGAATACTCAAGGAACACATTTAAAGATTAAGAGAAGGCCTGATATTTCGATCAATGTACTCACTTGTGTATAATCTGGAGTAGAAACATTCTGTGGTAATGACACACGTTTCCTTTCGGATTCGGACTGAGTTTGCAATTGGACTTGCAACTGCATCTGCTGTTGCTTATTCCTATTTTGCTGATCTTCGTTCAATACACTCGTAATAATACTTTTTAGTCTATCCTCAAAATTGGCAACTCTGGGTGGTTCTTGAATTCTATTCGGTACGTCTTTATTGGTCGTTTGCGTGAATGAAATAGAAGAGGATGATGATGATGATGATGATGTTGATGACGATGAAAAACTGAGAGATGCCAGTGGCAATCTAGTTCTGGAATTATTGTTGCCACTGGCCTGTCTACTTGGTATACGACCCGCTTCTATCTGTCTTCCCGTTTCCAAAATTTTTTGCGCTAATATTTCTGGATTATTCTCCTGTATTTTTCCTATATCCGGAACGTCAGGCCACTCTTGTGATCTCGACCGACCTTCCCTACTTTTACGCGTTGTCCCATTTTTAATACTTTGTTGTTGTTGACCACCATGATGCAAATTTTGCAAATATTTACTTCCAATCGCATCCTTCTGTTGCTGAACAATGGTAACAGCTTGCTTCTCGTTATTTGTTCTTTCTAATACGTTTAACTCGAGCTCTAGTTTCGAAACCTGTACGCACAAAATAAGTTTAATGAAATACGAGTGAAATAAAATTTCTGCTTCACGCGTACAAGCACATAGTATATAGGGGAAAAAAAGGAAGAAAAGAGCGAGATGCAAAAACGAAGCATAATTGCACAAAAATTAAAATACGCATCAATAAATAAATGTTATTAACAGGATACACACTTGAGAATGTAATCGTTTCCGCTGAGAAAGAGTAGCGGAGATTTCCTTCAACAAATAATCCTCGGTAAGCGGTTGGTGTGGATTCGTTATACCATTTGCATTCATGTGACCATTATATTTTTCTTGTAATTCTTGATGCCTAAGCGCCACTAGCCTGTTTTGTTCAATTTCTATAGATGCCACTTGCGCTTGCAATTTGCTCGCTTTAGCCTGTAGCTGTTTATGTCTTAGAACTATTTCCTTCGCTTTCGCTAACAGATCCCCAGGTGACGTTGCATTGATACCTAATTCAGTCATTCTCGCTTTCAAGAGAGCTACGCTATCGTCGATTAGCACTTTGATTTGTTTTTCTAATTGCGCCGCTCTTGACTGAAGTTTAGAGTTTCTTTCTCTTTCTTTCGCGATATCCATATTGACAGATACTTTGTAAGTGGGCGTTCTCATCGATTCTAACATAAGCATAAATTGGTCCCTGCGACAAAAATATATTTTATAACAATGTAGAAAGAATCAGATGTAATCAGAGAGAAAAAGAAAGAGAGAGGGGGGGGATAAAACATAGCTACCTGTACAAATCCAAAAGTATTTGTAGAGCGTAAGGAGTCGCGGACGGAGCGGGTGGTATACTGAGTTCCTCATGCACTGAAGTGGAATGCGATTGTAAAGAAAGCGACAATGAAGACAGTTGTTGATCTACACAACCAGGAGGAGGTGGAGGTTTTTTCCCAAGAGCTTGAGGTGATGTGCTAAGCAAAGTCTGACTATGTAACAAATCCAATCCAGATATATTGATCGCTTTTTTAGGCTTGGCTCTCTTAACGCCTCTTCCTCTCTGTCTACCTCTAGCTGGAGCCCTTGTAACGCCATTTGCAGTTTTACGATTGAATTTCCTTCGTATCTTGTTCGGCTGCCGACGATTTTTCATAGTACTGTCATCTAGATCGGAGTCACTATTTGTTCCTTGCTGCTCCGAATGATTCGGACTATCTAATTGCCTCGAAAGATCTCTCTTGGCTCTGTCACCTCTTTCATTTCTATTAGAAATCTTACTACTATTGCTGGCAGTGTTGCTTATCACAGAATCAGAGTTTTCATCTAAGCCACCTTGTTTATTGTTTTTTAAGCGGTGGAAATAACGTTCTAATTTAGTTCGATCAATTACGTGCAAATAATACGATACCGGCTTACCAGTCCAAGAAACGGAACCCTTTAACGGTGACATCTCTGAGACATGCATTATCGTGCCGATATCTGTCAGGATCAAAATTGCAAAATCAAAATTATGAAGGTCAAATTACCAATATACATATTTATAAAATTAAGGAATAGATATATTACCACTCAGATTTCTGTCCGTTATTCGAAAGTTTAATGGACAGAACGATTTTGAAGATACTATACGCGCGCCGTCTCGCAAATCAGCAAAGCGTTCCTTCAATTGATGATCGACCGTTGGGCCAAATGCAAAATTATTAACAAACACTATCGTAGCTCCAGTTATACTTTCACGATGTTCATCAGCTAAAAAATCTCCCTTCACTAAACGATATTCTCCACATCGCTTCCCGTACCAATTTAACCATTTTCGAAAATTTATTTCCATGCTCTGTAGTGAGATACAATAATTAATTTCATTACATATCATACAGCATATCACAATGAGTGTGAAGTGCATGAAATTTTCAAGTCAATAAATATATAGTTATGCAAATATACTCCATTCCAGATGTATTTATTTATGTAATAACATTTAAAAATTAAGATATAACAACATTAGCTTGCATGCCATACCTGAGCATATTTCGATGGTACATCCGCTCTTTCTACACCAATACAAATTTTACATAAAGTCGCAGCTGCCATCTGAAGAACCACCTGGCCAACTCCAGAACCAAGATCAACAAAAATATCATCTTCAGTCACATCAATTTGGTCGATCATCTGACATACAAGCTCGTAACTTGTTTCGCCATAGACTTCGGGTGAAAAGGGTTCATATTGATTTAATTTGTCTGGTTCAACTACAGCTTGATTGTAAGTTTGTTGAAGTATATGACGAAGTAAACCTCTACCAGGTCTTTTATTTAGTCTCTGAGATGGCAAACTGGTGCCTTTTTCCTATAGAGAGATTTTACAAATTGTTGGTATATGGATTATATTAATGAATATTTTATTCTTAATTCGAGTCAAAATTTAAGACCAAGATAAATCAAAATTAAAAAAGGAAACAAATAAACAAGCAAAATATAAAAATAAAATATGGGCTACTGAGGTGTATATATATATATATATATATATATACACATATAATAAATATATATATATATATAATTATTATATATATATATATTATTTATAATTATTTATATATATATATATA